TCAGCCGCTCGTGGTCGTGTTCCAACTACTAACCGGGAGTTGGCGGATTTTGTGAGAAGCCCACCGCTGACGATTCCCAATACGGACAAAATAGCTCTATAGCCTTGCAGCTTAGATAGCCTCACTTATGGGCCAGAATCTCAGTCTTATAGCCCTAATGAGGTCACAGCTTTTCCGTTTACTAACGATAACCAGGATTTTCATAATTTGGGGAAAATAGGGAAAGAGTATCTCGTAATATAATTGTCAGGACGCGTCCAGACAGACATGTGCAGAGTGAAGCATCCCCAAGGTCACCATAGGTTCGACACGTTCGGAATGTAGGTGAGTTGGCGGCTCTCACCAAACACGGCTTAGCAACATACGGCCAGCGGAGTGAGCCTGAAAGTGTTCAAGACCGGAACACCACCATTGGCTTTACGGAACGAACAAGTGAACGACCACATTTGGCCGTTTAATCATCCTATATATTTACGCAGACGCTCTCTATGTTTTGTCCTGGCAATAAAGCGGTGTCCCGAGTTCTCTGTCTTCTCCCTATCGCGGAGTCTGGCAGGCTCAGTGCAGGCGTAACCCATAGACGGCCACCCACGATACAACAATAATCAAAGGGAAAAGGTTGAGGATCACTGCGATACACCATATCGAATAGTTCCATGATGGCTTACCGTAGATTACTGGTATCTTAGGAGACAGCTGCTCGGGTAAGCCTGAAAGCCTGGGTGGATGGGAGATTAACCTATTCATTATTGAACCTAGCACAGAGACACTACAAAATTTGATGTTGCATCGACTGAAAGGGGGTCGTCGGATCTTCTGGAACATTTCGGGGAACCCGGGAGATACTCCATACAATATCCTAAATTTCCTGAAATCAGGACCAAAGGTCCTGAAGCAGACTCGAAGCAGACAGTTGTAGGAAATGTGATGATCATGATTACTACGGAAACCGACAAAGAATTGGACGAATCCAGTTCAGCGGATTAGGAGGTAGGACAAAGTGCTCAAGAGAGGGTGGATTTACTTGAGAACTTGGGGGTACCAGATGGGAACAGCCTTCCACCATAAGGGTTTTGTCATCGATTCACCGAAATCATACGCGAAATCTGCTTTTAGAAAAGACTTAGAGTAGAGAAGAATGATAAAGTTCACTCCGATTTATTCGATGGCTTGCAATTGGATTTTGCCAAACGTTCACACAAGCAGGACCCCAAGGCTTCAAAATTCAATCAGCTGGAACCCAGCTGAATCTCTCGTTTGTGATGATTCCAGGCAACTGAATTTGCTCCACCAGGTAGCCTCATGTTTTATTCGATGCGATATTCGAAATATCGCGATACATGTATATCCGGGATGCATTACTCATATGATTGCTGAAAATTCGAAGACAGCCCACGACTTGCTCCGCCCTTGCTGGGGCTTAGCGGGTAGATGTATCCCCGAGTTTCCGTCAGTCTTATGTTTTACTCGATCCCAGGTTGTATCAAACAAATTTGGTTTTTCGAGGAACTCACCTGGAACACAGCTGAATCTCTCGTTTGTGATGTCTCCGGGCAACTGAATGTGCTATACCAGACCGCCTCATGTTTCAGTACATTACGAATATACATGTATCGCGATATCTCGAATATCGTAGCAACTGCAACGTGAGACGGCTTGGTGCAGCACGTTCAGTCGCCTGGATACACCACAAACGAGAGGTTCAGCTGGGTTCCAGGTGAGTCTCTCGCAAAACCAAATTTGTTTGCAAATGGGTGTGGTTCGCTAATTTCCTGCAACCTGTACTCAAGTAGAACATAAATTTGATGAAAACTCGGGGACTGTGCCTACCCGATGAGCCCCAAGAAGGACGGAACCGGTCGTGGGCTGTCGACGAATTTTCAGCAACCTTATAAATAGTACATTACGCATGGAATGCACCAGTGTTACAAAATCGGTCTTTGTGGCATTTATGTTGCTGACTAGCGTTTAGCAAAATACCCCGCAGTAAGAAGAGTGAGAGGTCTTTCTGAGAGGGGCGTTCGACTTGCTAATCACCTACTCAAAAACGTACCTTCCCTAAACGATTATTTTATACCATGAAGTAATTTGATGTATAAATTTGTTGGTATCTACTCTGGAAGAAAGCAGTTTGTCCCTATCAGGTGTTTCACGAGGATCACAGAAGGTTTGGAACAGCACTTGGCTGCTCCGAAGCAGTTGAATTTCCCAGAAAAGTTCATCTTTTCAAATGAACTAGTACATTAATCGTTTTCGAAAATGTTTGGTGACAACCGGTAGATTTATTGCTGGGCAACGTTCCGCTTTTGACACAAAAGCTTCGTCAGGCCAAGTGACTAGGTTCCGAGGTTGATCGAGATTTAAGGCGGAAGGAGAACCAATCAGCTAAGTCAAGCTAAATCTC